GATTTAAAGGAAGAAAATATTCTCTGGCTGGTTCATTTAAATGGACTTCTCACCCCAAAGGGAGAATTCTGTCAGATTTTTTTTTTTTATTTTGTCTTCAAAAAAACTGCAAAATCACCATAAAAGTAGCAAAAAAAAATTGTCCATTGTATTACACTCTCTTATAAAGTCATACGATAGCTTTGTGTACAGACTCAAATTTAAGTCACTTTTCACTTATAATCCACTGCAACTGGAGCTCGAGAACTGGATCAGTTCAGTACCAGATATTCAGACTGGTTTTGTAAACCAAATCAATTAAGGATTCAGTTTTTTGATTTTAGTCTTACGCCTGGCCCTTTTACTGTTTATTAATTTCTTCATTTATTTAGTTATTCATTTATTAACAGGTTTATTACAGTTAACTACTAAAAATGAAAAAAAAAAAATGTAATTAAACTTTAGCTAAAATTTAGATTAAAATGGAAAATATAAAAATAAAAACGGATTCAATATGTTAATAAAAATTATAGCATCTTGATACTAAAATAACACTGTTTATATAGTAATATCTTTTTAGATATAATATTTAGTCATTAAATTAATTTAAAACTATTTATTTGTTTTAATAAAATGAAATTTGTATGATAGTATACAATACAATATGTCTAAAATGTGGGAAAAATATAAATGTGTATTTTAAAATGCTCTAAAATGATTATATCAAGAACTTAATAAAATTCACAGTTTATATTAAATGTTTGTGGTAATTACTATAGTGGGGAATTATCTGCTGTGGGTTGCAATTGCAGGTACAGATCATTGGTTGTATTTTTAGCTCCAGTCCATCGCCGTTTTGTAGAGGTGTGCAGGATTAGAGGTGTCCCAAGTCCAGCTGTGGTGTTTTTTTCTTCAGATTCTCTCTCTTTTGCTATATCTGACTCTTTTCTCACTGAAGAAAACAGCTGCACCCTGTCAAGATTGAGGCTTAAAGTGTGTGTTAGTGTATGATCACACTAAAGTCACCAGGTCTTTGTAAACCTTCAGGTTCAGGAAAAGACATAAGTAGAGAGAGAATAGAATCACACATAGACACCGGAATACTGTCTCTTTCTCCAGTCACTGTGACATCATTAAGGGTCACTGGGTTAGCTGGGGAACGTTCCAGAAAAAGGTCCACTTTAATGTTAACCGTAATTAATAAGCTTGTGTGTGCGTGTGTGTGTGTGAGAGAGAGAGAGAGAGAACTTGTGACGAGCTGTTAAGAAAGCTTGTGTTTGAAGAAGAGATTGGGGAGGGTTTTTGGAAAAGGCTGTTTTCAGTTGAAGGACATCAATGGTTGCTGGTGAAAAAAGAGCCTCATTGAAATTCATGGCTTAGTACCTATAGCATTGTGCATTTGGAGAGAGATTGAAAGTCTGACAGATTTCAATTAAAATGGCATTTGCAAGAGATGGGAAAAAGGGGGCCTGTGGATTTTTTGTGTATGTGTGTATGCGCTTACGCATAGGTAACTGATTTTTAAAGTTCATTTGTTACTTAAAATGACAGAAATGATTTATCCCTTCAAACTTGATATTAACCAGGGTTTTACTGTTACTGTGGAAAATGGTTGCATCACTTCCTGTTAGCCAAGCGGTCATATTGTAATTTTCATAGTTTTCATAATTTTTTTTTTTGTGTGTGTGTGTGTCCAAAACAGTCATAATTTATTTTTTAATTACCCTTTTAACCCTTTCTATGATCTTTAGATTTAAGCATGCTACTGTGTCTTTAAGATAAAATTGCATTTTTGCATATGAAATGAGTAAGATTGGTTTTCCGCTCCAGTTTACTTCAAAATGTGCCAAACAAACAGTTTAGATATGATTTGTATGATAAAAATGATTAATAAAGGATTAAAAAAAGAAACTTTGTAGATGTTTCGGAAGAACCTGCAGAGTTGTAGGTGCTACACATTGCCAGAAACAGCACAAAGTTTAGCAAGTTTTCATATTTGTTTCCTTGTCAGAAAGTTCTGAATTTTTTATTTCTAAAGATTACAGAATTTTTATTTTACATTGACACCTTGAATGCATCTAACAATTTTACAAGCCAGCCAAATCACATGGACTCCTCCTAAATATTTCTGTGTTAGCCTCACCTGCTAAAACAAAAGTTTTCCACCCTTATAAAGAGTTGTCGGATGTGGAGGCCGTCTTCAGAGGTCTTTTACTTCAAATTTATCAACATTACGTTGATGTTCAGAGCTACAAAGACAGATTCCATCCTATTCTGTCCATCTATGGACATCTGAGAGCGTTTCTTCGGGCCAGAAGAAACACTGGGTTAAGCTGTACTGTAATTGGTGTATAAATTATTATACGTTAGACTTTAAAAGGTGGCTTCTCTTTTGACATTGCATTTGGGGCTTTTAGAGCACTTATTTTAAGTGGTGGGTTCTTGGGGAACAGAGCACATGGACACACAGAGTGTATACTGATATTAAACACGTATGTGCATGAGCCGGCTGTCTTTTTCTCTCAAGCCCTCACTTAAAATTTCCTGTAATTGCCTTTTTTTTCTCACATTTTCTTGAGTGCTGCTGTGGATATACACAGATGGAGGAATGACAGTCTAAGGTGAAAGGGGTCAATATTTAGTTTTCCTTCCTGTCTGTGTTCTTGTGACAGCCGTGTGGCATGTTTAAAACTTTAGCTGGGCCGAAGGTCTTATTTGATCTCCAACACTTCCAGTTAAAACACCACCAAAACCTATGCGGCCTAATGAAGTCTCATAGTAGTATTAGTCTGCCAGTTGCAGGCCTAGAGTAAAGGTTGATAGTAAAAATGCTTCATAGTAGCACACATTCACACTCTCTTACTCTTGGGTGAGAACTGTGGCAGATCTCTTTGTCGTTTAAAGGTTTGACGACCTCTCCAAAGTCCACGTTAATTGGGCACATCAAGGTGTCCAACAGAACACAGACAGAAAAGCGGCCCACTTTAGGCTCTGTCCTGAGAGCACGTAGCGCTTCTGAAGAGGCTACAGAGGGGGCAGAGATGCAAGAACCCGCCATGTTTCCACGGAGACTTGCTTTTGTGTGCACACATTCTTTTCTCATTGTTTGGCCTGAAGATGAGGAGGATGTCCATTAGAGAAGCCCAACAGTTCCTCTCTGTCATCCCTTGTCTGTGTCTTTTATTCAGGGCTCTTATGTTATCGCTTTGTTTAGGAAATTCGCTCAGAACGGTGAGATGCTATGTTAGATATCGGCGCTATACTCTATGTACAAGAACAGAGGGAAAGAAAAAGCAAATTGAAATTTCTGACCTTTTCTGAATTGCAAATTGTCAATTTGTATATATCTAAACATACACACTGCCGTTCAAAAGTTTAGGATCAGTAAGATTTTTTATGTTTTTTAACGGAGTCTCTTGTGCTCATCAAGGCTGTATTTATTTGATCAAAAATACAGAAAGAACAGTAATATTGTGATTTATTTTCCTATTTTAATATACTTTAAAATATAATTTATTTCTGGGATGCAGCACTGAATTTTCATCAGCCATTACTCCAGTCTTCAGTGTCACATGATCCATCAGAAATCATTCTTATATGCTGATTAATTATCAGTGTTGAAACAGTTGTGCTACTTAATATTTTTTGGAACCCGTGATACTTTTTTCTTTGATTCTTTGATGAATAAAAAGTTAAAAAGAACAGAATTTATTCAAAATAGAAATCCTTTCTAACAATATAAGTCTTTACTTACTACATTTTATCCATTTAACACATCCTTACTGAATAAAAGTATAAATTTCTTTAAAAAAACTGACCCCAAACGTTTGAATAGTAGTGTATACTGTAACACAAAATTTCTATTTTGAATAAACACTGTTCTTTTTAACTTTTTATTTATCAAAGAATCCTGAAAAAAGTATCACAGGTCCCAAAAAAAAGTTTTCAGCACTTATAATAAATCAGTATATTAGAATGATTTCTGAAGGATCATGTGACACTGTAGACTGGAGTAATGATGCTGAAAATTCAGCCTTGCTTGATAGAAATAAATTATTTTTTAAAGCATATTAAAATATAAAACTGTTATTTTAAATTGCAATAATATTTCACAAAATTACATTTTTTTTCTGTATTTTTGATCAAATAAATGCAGCCTTGATGAGCATAAGAAACTTCTTTAAAAAAAAAAGTTAAAATCTTACTGATCCCAAACTTTTGAACGGCACTGTATCATTACAAAAAAAAAATACTGTTACAAAATATACTGATTGTATTTCAATTTACGTTGAATCCATCAAGATTTTTGAAGCTTTATAAATTACACAAAAGCACCTAAAAAGCTCCAAAAAGTTTCAAAAACTTGAACAAAAACAATTTAATGACTTTTTGGTCTATTTATCATACATAGTGAACATATGCCATCAGAAGATTTGGAATATAGTGCATCACTTTTATGATACTTTTCTGGTCTTATTTTAAATGATTATAATACATAATTTAATAATAAATACAATTAGAAAGCCAATAATTGCTTGGAAAAAATCAGCCAGTATGTTCTTCATAATTTCTCTTTTTGTCTTCTCTGGAAGAAATGAAGTCATACCGGTTTGGAACGATATGAGGGTGAGTAAATGATGACAGAATTTTCATTCGTGGGGGAATTATTCCTGTGGGTGAAACAGAAGGAGAGATTTTGCAATCTCAGAATAAAATAGGGAAAAATGAAAGAGGAAAAAACGAGTGTAGATGTTTGCTGAGCATGTTGTCCGTGGAGAGAGTCTTTGTGTGTGCTTCCACGGGTCAGCCGGTTATTCATTCCAAACCTGTATGACTTGGTCAGTGTTGTTCTGTGTGTGAAAAAAGGTCCTGTGGCAGGAACATTAAAGTAATTTACACCACTCATGAAAATCACACGCTCATCTCCAGGAGCCTGTCAGAGGAGTGTTTGTAATGGCAAGATTACACGACTGTAACTCAGGTTTCTCTCTCGGTCTTTCTCAATGTCTTTCTTTCTGCAGATGGGATGAACTGTATGAATAAGGACCATGGCTGTGCCCATATCTGCAGAGAGACTCCCAAAGGTGGTGTGGCGTGTGAGTGCCGCCCAGGATTTGAGATAGCCGAAAATCAGCGTGACTGCAAATGTATGTATCAGCCTACCGAAATGACTGATTTTACAAATATCAATCTGTTCCCTCTCTCAGAATCCTAAAAATGTCATACTTAAATTATGTAATCCCTGGCCAGAATATATATTATTTAAAATAAAAGTATATATTA